TGCCTATTTTGTTCTTCAGCTTTGATCCTGACAATGATTTTTTGAGCCTGCTCACCTTGAGAGATTAGTTGTCTCCAAGAACGGCATTCTGCAACTCCTATTCGGGCTAGGAGGTCGGTTTGCAAATTGTGTCGACAGGTCTCTACTAAGGTAGATTGTGTCATACCTGACGAACACCGGAGAGCCATGGATCGGAACCTTTAGACATAGGCTTTGACTGATTCCCTCTTCTTCTGCTTAGTAGCAAGAAGGGTATGGATGGAGACTTCTGTATCCTCTTCAAAGAATCTTGACAGGAAGAGTCTCTCTATATCCGCCCATTTTTGGATACAGCCCGCAGGCAGTTTCCTCAACCATTCAAAGGCAATTCCCTTGAGGGTGCCAATGAACAATCGAGCCAGTATGGCATCGTTTGATATTACATTTCCAGTCTGTGACTTGAAATGATAAATATGTTGGTTCGGTGATCCCGTGCCGTCAAAAGTTTGTAGCGTCGGGACATCGAACTTTGGAGGATAAGGGGCTACATCCCATTCGGCAGGATAGTGTCTGATAACTCCCTCATCTTGGAGGTCGCTTCTGCTAGCAATTGCTTTAAGGCGGGCTTCCAATTCTTTCATTTTGGCAGACTGAAGATTCTGCTCGTTCTCAGTCTCTCTTCCTCCATCAGAGGAAGATTCCAGTTTGTGGGCTTCTTGGTCAGAAGCTGTATCATCAACCACTTTTCCCTTCCCTTTGCTTGTGTGAGGTTGGGATGAAGACGCTTTTCCTCTCCGGGAAGATTCTTGCCTAAGCGGCGAATCTGTCTCCTGAGATTTGGCCTTGTCTGCGACGATTTGAGTCAACATGGCCATGAGTTCATTGATGGCCTCCTGCTGAGATTTGAGCATGGCCTCCTGTTCATCAAGTCTCTTCGCGAGATCTTCATGGTTTCTCGTCATATAAGCGAAGCTCTTATGTTCAACAAAAGAGCTTGATGACTGGGACTCTGCAATGGCTGAGTGTTTGTCATCGGAATTAGTTCCTCTGGCTAAACTCCGATAGTTGACAGGGGGAATAGCTCCTGTTCGCGTTCGAGTGCGTTGGTAGACTCCTTCAAACTCGTTAGCGATTTCTCTGACGCTTGGAGAATGATCTGTCTCTGACTCGTCAGAACTAAGGGTTGATGATCTCCATCTACCAACCATGTTAGAAGTGACTCCAAGGTATTTAACCTCTAAAGTCTTCTTCCTGTGATGATGTCGTCGATTATTGAGCAAAACGACATTCGTCGGTCGGTTGAACATTGACAGCAATTCCCGCAAGTCAGAGACTTGGGATGAACCTCTCACAGAGCGTGAGGGTAGAGATGGAACCCCCTGTCCATTAAAGGATGAGACTGGCTCCTGGTGAACATGGATCTTGAGTCCACGTTGATCTTTTTGAACACGACGAATCGCATCGTGTTCTGAAGAAGAAACACGAGGGTCGTGTTCTGTTTTACTAACGCTAGACCGAAGTCTGCGTTTTGTTGATGAAACGCACCTTTGCCGGTTGCGTTTTTGTTGGTTAACGCAGTTTGTAAGTCTGCGTTTTGGATCTTGAACGCACTCCTGAGAGTTGCGTTTTGGTTCTGAAACGCACTCCTGAGAGTTGCGTTCTGCCAAATCAACGCAGTTTTGAAGGCTGCATTTTGATTGCACAACACACCACTGAGGGCTGCGTTTGGCATAAACTGAGTCCACTCCTTTAGAGGTGGGGCTGCTCGAGTAATCTCGGCGGCTAAAGGAGAGGGTTTCCTTTGGCATAGGAGCAACCTTTGGAGCTTTAGTCTCCTTGGCACCTCTCACAGAGCGTGAGGGTAGAGATGGAACCCCCTGTCCGTTAAAGGATGGGACTGGTTTTTGGTAAACATGAATTTTAAATCCATGTTGATCATTTTGAACACGACGAATCACATCGTGTTAAGAGAAGAAACACGATGGTCGTGTTTAGCTTGATTAACGCAAGACCAAAGTCTGCGTTTTGCTAGTGAAACGCAGTCCTGCGATCTGCGTTCGGATTCAGAAACGCACTCCTGAGAGTTGCGTTCAGTTTGTGAAACGCACTCCTGAGAGTTGCGTTTTGGTTCTGGGACGCACTCTTGAGAGTTGCGTTCAGCCAGATCAACGCAGGTTTGATGTCTGCGTTTAAATTTTGGAACGCACTCCTGAGAGTTGCGTTTTAGTTCTGGGACGCACTCCTGAGAGTTGCGTTCAGCCAGATCAACGCAGTTTTGAGGTCTGCGTTCTGATGTTGGAACGCGCCTCTGAAGGCTGCGTTCTATCTGGGAAACGCACCCCTGAGGGTTGCGTCTAGCTTGGCCTATGCAGAGCTCATGTTGAGGCTCGCAAACGCGGAGTTCGCGTTGATTGGAGGATCGGCTCTGGAGTCGTGCCAAAGTCGAGACTTCTCCTTTAGGGAGGGGACTGTATGAACAGTGCAACCCCCATGGGAGATAGTCTTTAGATGAGTTGGCCACAACTGGAGCTTTAGTCTCCTCGGAAACTTTGTGGATCTTGCGCATAGCCTTGGGGCTAAAGGATCCGGAGGAGAGGGCCTTCTCAAACTTGGCTTGATCGAACTCGATGATCAGAGTTTCAACGGTCGTTCCAATGAGATGAACGTCGGATTGCGCCACCACTTTTTCGTCAGAGAAGCTAGTCCCCAGCAGAGTCGCCATCTTTTGTTTGTTGGAAATTTGCGGTAGAAAGACAATGAAAGAAAAATTTGACTTGTATTCCTCTCAAAATCAATTACAATTTGGATTCCGATTACAAAAGAGAGGAGAATAAATTTGATTCTCCCTTTTGTTTAATTCTGGGTTCTTCATGGTGGCGATGGAGTGCCTCCCTCGAATGCTCGCGTCGAGTTTGCTTTCCGTTGACTATCCGAACGTCTTGATTCACTGGAACGATGTCTTCTCCTCACGGTTTGACGCTGTGGAGAACTTGCGTGGCAAGTTTGAAAATAACTCGTAACGAGTTGATAACTCTGAACGAGTTTTTAGAAGAACTTGCAGAGCAAGTTTTGAACTCTGATCGAGTTGATAACTCTGAACGAGTTTGAACTCTTGAAAAAGAGTTGATTTGAACCGAAAGTTCGGTTAATAAGCCAAGGAAGAAGCTCCTGTTGCTGGTCTCCAAAACTCCTTGTTGCTGCAGAACGCGGCAAGATGCTCGATCAAGGATCCCCAAAAAGTCAGCCAAAAACCTCCAAAAAAAAGAGGATCCGAACTCAGTTGAGTTTTGAGGTATTTATAGGGGGTTAAGGGTATAACCGCCCCCTTAAATATCTCCTTAATGAGGGTTTAATGGGGTCTAACTGCTCCCCATAAATCTCTCCATGATAGGGTAGTGATCCCCTAAAATCTTGGGGAGAAAACGGTTCTGTGTTCTAGGCTAAAAACGCACAGTTCGTGCTGTTTTAGAGATTAACTCTGCGTTTTGATATTGAAAACGCAGAGTTAAGCCTGTTCTAGGCTGAAAACGCACAGTTCGTGCTGTTTTAGAGATTAACTCTGCGTTTTGATGTTGAAAACGCAGAGTTAAGCCTGAAAACGCACAGTTCGTGCTGTTTTAGAGATTAACTCTGCATTTTGAGGTTATAACGCTGGTTCGACCTGTGCGCTTTGACTCTGTAATGCAGAGGCGAACCTTAGGCGGGCTTGGCGAGCTTCAGGCTAAGTCCAATGTTCTGATGAAGTCCAGTCTTGCAGACGGACCTCAGAACATAATTTGCTGCGAAGAAAAGGTCATAACTTTCAAACCGTAAGTCGGAATTAGACAAATTATATATGAAAATCGGCTATCTCGACGAGACGGGGCCATCCGAACCAAGCCAAAGGCTTCGGTCCGCTTCCTCCGTTTCGCCAAATTCCTTACGGTTTGAGAGATATCTGCATTCTAATATGAAGAGACCGTCAATTTGTAGTCTCTTTTGCTAGAGCTTTGCACAGATCGTCCTCTTGTAATCTTCTTCTTGGCTCTTTGAAAATATGAGAGTCGTCAGATTGTAACTCCCGATGTTGATTGTGAAGGCTGTTGAATTAGAGCTTTCATCAGTTATCGTGAAGGTCGTCAGATTGTAGCCTTCTACGTGAAAGTCCTCAAATTGTAGCCTTCTGGAAGTCGTCAAGTTGTAACTTCCATCGTCGGTGTTTGATGGGGGATCAACTATCTATTGTGATTTTTAGACAGCCTACACTGACATGTTGAGAATCCTGAGATCAGTAAAACGATGTATATGGCCAGTAATTTGAGGAATACATAATCTATCTATTGACAGAATTTTCCTTTATTTATTCTGTGCTCTGCTCTCCTTGGCACCACTGTACATTCTTGTTATGTGCTTATGTATGTTGCCAACAACCTCATCGTGCCTTCCATGTAAGATCAGTATCCGTTAAGCAACTTTTAGGGGTAGGTTAAAAACTAAGCTATCACTGTTATCACATGCACTGTCCTGGCTTGTCTATCATGTTTTTCTTGTTGTTTATAGTTATAGGGGATCATGTTTTTCTTGTTATTTATAGTCATAGGGAATCGTACTTTCAGCTAAGTCTGGCGAGCTAGCCAGAGAAATGTTTGACTATCGCTAGTCATGCTATGTCATGATATGGTTTGCGGTAGTTTAGTATTTGTTATCCAGTAGATGTTAGTGATCTACAGTATGATTCAGGCCTCATTTAAGATCCCAGCTATATTTGCTTACAGGGTGGTTTGCTTGTGGAATTAACATGAGACCATTTTGTCGTAATATTATATATGTTGAGCTGAAAGACTAGGTGAGTATGGATGTATGCATAAAAGATATTTAACACCATTAAATGGAAGTTTTACTGTAAAAGTGATTGTAATTTGTTACTAACCAAATATGATCTAAACTTCAAGTTGACAAGGCTAATCATCTATATTCATGTGTATTTTGTTAAATGTTCTGCATGGTGGTGTAACTAATCTAACATATTTGTCCTTGCTCAGGGAAATGAATGCGAGTTTCGTCATAGCGAAGGTGCTAGGGTTAATCCCAGGGATTGCTGGTACTGGTTGAATGGCAACTGCCTGAATCCAAAATGTGCATTTCGGCATCCGGTGAGTTATTTTTTTGCTATCTTAAACGAATTTGTATTGTGCAATGCAGAAACATAACTGTACACTGTTTTGTGAGCTCTTGATATATGTATTCTTTTGGATTTCATATGTATGTGTGGATAATTTCAACTTGTTTATCCGGTGCTTATGTTAGAAATTTTAGCTTTCCTGGACATATTAGTGAATATTCTTTACTCCACTTTAAAGTATATGCATGGTGGCCCTATTCTTGTTGATCTCCTTTTGTGTCCATTAGATACTTATCAAAAACATTGATGCTTTAGAATGTGCTCTCAGCACAGAAAGAAGAAATTACACTTATTAGATTCCTTTTGATATCCCTATCTTTAGTCCCACATCGGGATTCCACAAAAGAATTAGAGTGTTTAAATAGATAAGCATGGGGTTCAAGTGTAGAATCAACTAGTCAATTTTGACAGTGGTTTGAGCTAAACAACGCGCTACACTCAGTGGGTCCCATGGCTTACAATGCACCAACGTGCTCGCAGTCTTGAGGTGTGACACCTTTCCTCCTACTTAAAATAAACAGTCAAATTTGTACATAGAGAGGGTGTAGGTGAGATGATATTTGTTGTTTACAAAGAAAATATTTTTGTCCTCATCATGTACACTTTCCTTGGTCATTATAGAGTAGCATAAATATATGGAATTCCTTGGTGATCATGCTTAAACCGATATTTTTTTCCTCAAACCGATATGTCGGCCGACATGTCCGACATGTCGGGCGATATTTAAAACCTTGGTGCTGTATGATTTTGTTGTTGGTCATATTTCATGCCAATAACTGATCTATCTTCTATTTCCTTCAGCCGCTTGATGGTCTATATGGAATTCCTGCGCCTCCAGGATCATTACCATCTTCCTTGCAGGCTGTGGTCAATGTTCCTGGTGCTTATAACACAAATAAGCAAAGTGTTCCCTGCATATTTTTCCAGAGGGGGCAGTGCTTAAAAGGGGATATGTGCTCTTTCATGCATGGACCTCATCCAGCAAGCAACCGTGTCACAGATCAGTCGACAAATGGACCTCATCAAGCTGCCAATAGTGATCCACATCAATTGACAAATGGGTCTCATCTTGTTGGGAACAATGTTGTCCAGCAGGCAGCAAAGGTTTCCCCATCTCTTACTGGAACTTCACAAATGATCTCATGGGGCCTCAAAGAGTGTAATGCTTCTAAGAAAGCTGAAGGTCCTGTCAAGGGTCAGCTTCGTAATAGAAGTCTTTCACCTTACCCAGTAGATTACGAGCGTCCCAGATTTCAGCCAACCATCGCTCCTGTCAGCAGTGAAAATAGTCCAACTATGTCGAGTCATCATCCACTTCAGCCTGCTGAAGGTCATTATTCAAATGGTAGAGAGGCTGATGACTTATTGGGCGAGTCTTCTCCAGGCTTTGATGTTCTTGTGGATGATGAAGAGGACTACTTAAGGGATTCTGAGTATTATCACAATGAACAATCTATAAATGATTTTGACTACCAGCAACCTGATTACGAGCATGTTCCCAGTTTTCAGAGAGATCAATACAATGGCAAGGGTGAACATGATCGGGATTATCATAGGGTTTCCTCTGAATGGGCAATGGAGAGGATATCCAATCGTAGGCCAATGCACAGAGAGTCAAGCCCTGATGAGATCGAGGGTCTAGATTTGCGTCATCGGTTATTGAAAAAGAGGAGAGTAAGCGGCCTAAGATCCACTATCGGCACTGTGCATCATAGTGAGACTCGTAATAGAGATGATCACCTTGTTGATGATAGGTATCGTGGCCGTTCTTCTGGTAGGGGCCGGGACCAATTGAGTTCCTTTAGCTCTCGATTTCAAGGTAGAATTACACTTCCTCCAAGGTCTCCACCTATTCAGTCTTTTGACTCACATTCTGATAGAGATAGAAGGAGAATGCATGGCAGATCATCTCCATCCAGAAAAATAAACTACAAGGGGAGGCCCCATGACAGAATAAAGCGAACACCAAATGAGGAATCCAGCGGAAATGGGAGAAGATTTAGATATCGACCGGAGAGGAGAGATGATGGAAACCCTTTAAGCTTTGCTGGTCCAAAGAGTCTGGCAGAGTTAAAAGGTGCAATGGTTTCTGGAACTTCCCGGGAGCAGGCAGCCAAGAGCATGAATGCACCCCTTTCAGCCGGCTATCAAGCATCTGAAGATTCACTTTCTTTCGAAGGGCCCAAGCCATTGAGTGATATTTTGAAGAGGAAACGACAGAATACACCTGAGAATGAAATTAATGGGAGAATCGCTGAAGAAAGGGACTATAATGGCGATAGGAATGAACTTAATGGGAGAAAGGCTGAAGAAAGTGACTATAATGACAATAGCGCTGAAAACCCTGAAACTCAAATAATTGAAGAGGAGAAAGAAGACAGAGAGTCTCAATACAAGGAAATAGGGGGTGAAGACTTGAACATGGAAGATGAAGACAATGCATATCCTGAAGACGAGGATAAGTATCATGGTGATGAGACTGCGTATCAGGAGGATGAAGATGATGAAGACGAATTTGCCAAGAAGGTTGGTGCCTTCTTCTCATAAAGGTAGATGCACGTGCGAGACAATGTCACGAAGAAGATTTGTGTTGTATTGTTCACTTATTTTTGTGGATACCAATTTTGAGGGGATTTCAGCGTCACTGTAATTGAGAATCTTTATAGGGAGTGATTTGGATAGAGAAGAGGATGGGGGTTAGGTTTTTGTTAGAAGGTTGATCTGTATGAGTTTTTATTTTGTGGCTCTGCAGTTCTGGAAACTGGCTTCTCCGAGAGAGCTTAGGTTGTATTAACAGTTGAGATATTTATTTGTTGTACTCAAAAGTTACAAGGTTGTGAATTTCCCTTGGTGGTTACCCCCACAAATTTTTATGTTTGATATGTTGCTCTTCTCTGATGACTTATAACATTCATGACTTATAACAGTATGGAATGGAAAAAAAATAGAATTCATGTAGCCGACCCCGAATATTTGGGATAAAGGCTTGGTTATTGTTGTTGTTGTATATGTTGCTCTTCTCTGTTATTGTTTATGTATTGGATTATTTACATTCTGGTACATTATTATAAGGTGTAATTTCACAAGTGACCCTGGGGTTCATGTATATGTGTGGATAGCTATTGATGTTACTGGCTGAGGTCATACTGGTGACCCTAGTAACAGTTACCTTAGGGTTCACTCATGCTTACCGGTGTAGGTTAGTAAAATTTCAAGGTCATCCATGCAAAAACATCGACCGGAGGGCCACCCGTGTTATTGTTACGCCATATACCAGAAGGTACATGGATGTAAATAATCCTATTGTATTCATATTAAATATGTGCATACGGAGAGCTGAGATACCAAATCAATTTGTGTTTTATGCCTGTTGAGAAATAGTGAGCAAGATATTCTTCTTCCTGCATTTATTTCCTTTTAAGTTGAAATCCTGTAGCACTTTTCAGCAATCACACATATACACAGAACAAATATGGTTCTTTCAGATTCAATGAATCTTCACAGAGAAAGGCCAATGAGATATCCAATAGAGTTGTGAACAAAAACATGATACGTAGTAGAGTGTGCATATATTCTATGAGAAATGTTGGGTACCTGATAAAATCTATCACCAGGCCTAGCAAAGAAGTAAATAGCTGGAATAAGCTAGGATATTTTTTTAATATCTTTTATAAAATAGTCATTTGACAAGGAAAAAGGAATGGGAACGTAAATTCAGTCATATAGATCAAATATATCATCGACGACTAGCCTAGAAGCATTTAACTTGTTACAGAACAAGCTAATCCGCGATGCAATTTGCTCTTTACTTCACCATATATATGACTTAAGTGATGAAATGTGAGATTGTATTATTATCAGAGAAGAATTTTCATCTGTTACTTCATCATCCCATCCTCACACTTTCTTCGTGTTCAAATCATCTTGTTTTGAAACATGCAAGGCTAGAGAACTGGTAAATTTTGAAGGTTAGAAGTTGACAAAGAGACTTTCGGAGGTAGATGAATTTTTTGACCTTAGAAAGAGACTGATTGTGTGTAATTTGTGAATCTAAAAGACCACTTCAATAAACATTTTTTTTCCCCTTCTTCACCCTTTTACTACAATATCAAATTAAATAAGTTTTTTACAGTTGTACGTAACCAACAATACCCCTTCTTCACCCTTTTACTACAATATCAAATTAAATAAGTTTTTTACAGTTGTACGTAACCAACAATATTTCCATTCCAATAACTGAGCTATAATACAAATTAAATAAGTTTTTTACAGTTGTACGTAACCAACAATATTTCCATTCCAATAACTGAGCTATAATAAATACGAACATTCACTGTGATCTTGCTTTTGTCTGGAAGCAACCAAAAAGACTACGTACACTGTTAGTTTTGGGGGTGGATACCAACCTCCGACGGCGGAGGAGCTCCGACGAGCTCGAGGATGACGCAGGCGAGCGTGGCGAAGTCGACGACGAACGCGACCCTCGGCTTTGGCGAACGCGACCCTCGGCGTTTTGGCAGCTCGACCCCCGCGTTCAGGACTCCGACGTCCCCGTTCTGGCTCTCCCACCCTCGCGTCCGAGCAGACCGCTGGCGACAGGCTGTCGCCAGCCTGTCAACGATTCGCCTATAAAAGCAAACCCCAATGCCTAGGGTTTAGTTGCTTTTTCCTTTCGTTTTTTCTCTGGCGGTGGATCCTCCTAACGCAGCAGCGTTCCCCTAAAATCGCAGCAGCGATTTCTTGTTTAATCTCCAGCTTTCAACAGTGGTTGAGGGATATTTAAGAAGAGAGAGAGAGGGGAATTAAAGAGGGGGTTTATATTGTGGGTTACTTCATTTATTCTCAAATTTAAGAAGAGAGAGAGAGGGGAATTAAAGAGGGGGTTTATATTGTGGGTTACTTCATTTATTCTCAAGTGAGATTTGAAAGGGATTATTCCCTTTAATTATTAACACTGTAGCTACAGTGTTCATTTGATAGATCTCATTTTTTATCTGCTCTTAAATTATAATTTCTTGTTTGATTAATAAGAAATTAACTGTGTGGCTTCCGAGGACGTAGGCAGTTGCCGAACCTCGTAAATCTTGGTGTACTTTTTCTATTCTGCGTTTCTGTTGCATTAGGGATTTCAGCCTCAGATTCCCAACAACTGGTATCAGAGCGTGAAACGATCTAGAGGAAGTCAGATTCAAGTGATGGAACAGATTTCGGATTCTGGAAAATGCAGATAGAGGATTATCTGTATCAGAAAAATCTGTATCAGCCACTATCGGGGAAGAAGCCGGATTCTATGAAGGCAGATGAGTGGAACCTTCTAGATAGACAAGCCATCGGAGTTATCAGATTGACGTTGACTCGCAATGTTGCGTTCAACATAGCGAAGGAGAAGACCACGGCGGGTCTTATGGCAGCACTCTCAAACATGTATGAGAAGCCATCAGCCGCGAACAAAGTTCATTTGATACGGCGGTTATTCAATCTGAGAATGGCAGAAGGCGCGTCAGTAGCACAATACCTCAATGAACTCAACACGGCCACAACCCAATTGAGTTCAGTTGAAATTGAGTTTGATGAGGAAGTTCGGGCGTTGATACTTTTGTCTTCCCTACCAGAGAGTTGGAACGCTACAGTCACGGCAGTGAGTAGCTCGTCGGGAAAGAAAAAGTTAAAGTTCGACGACGTTCGTGATTTGGTTCTCAGTGAGGAGATCCGACGGAGAGAGACGGGTGAAGCTACAACCTCTTCAGTATTGCATACAGAGTCAAGAGGTAGAAATTCAACCAGAGGAAACGGACGAGGAAAATCAAACTTCAGAGGTAGATCAAAGGACAGGAGGTCTAAATCAAGGAATCCAAGCAACAGCTCGAAGGCTATCGAGTGTTGGAATTATGGAAAGACCGGACATTACAAGAATCAGTGCAAGAGTGCACAGAAGGAGAAGGAGGCGAAGGCAGAGGTGAATGTCACCTCCACCTCAGGAGGAGACGACGCATTGATATGCTCTTTGGAGAGCAAGGAGGAATCTTGGGTGTTAGATTCAGGAGCGTCGTTCCATGCTACCTCTCAAAAAGAATTCTTCGAGAAGTATACCCCCAGAAATCTTGGATACGTATATCTTGGTGATGATCAACCATGTGCTATTGTGGGCAAAGGCGTGGTGAAAATTAAGTTGAACGGGTCAGTATGGGAGCTGAAGGATGTCAGGCATATTCCCGACCTGAGAAAGAATTTAATATCCGTAGGCCAGTTGGCTGGCGAAGGATATACCACGACCTTCCATGGAGATGATTAGAAGATCTCAAAGGGCGCAATGACGATTGCCCGAGGTAGGAAGACTGGTACCCTATATATGACAGCAGATGCACGTTGTTTTATCTCAGTTGCAGCAGGCAATGAAATTTCAAAGCTGTGGCACCAGAGACTCGGTCATATGAGTGAGAAGGGGATGGAAATCATGCACACAAAGGGAAAACTCCCAGGACTGCAGTCAGTGGAGATGGATATGTGTGAATAATGCATACCCGGAAAGCAGAAGAGAGTCAGCTTTCAGACAAGTGGCAGAACCCCCAGGAAAGAGAAGTTAGAGCTCATTCACTCAGATGTGTGGGGGCTAACAACCACCGCGTCCATTGGTGGAAAACACTACTTTGTGACTTTTATCGACGATCACTCTCGGAAAGTGTGGGTCTACTTTCTGAAGCATAAGTCAGAAGTATTTGAGGCTTTCAGGAGATGGAAAGCTATGGTCGAGAATGAGACCGGTCTGAAAATAAAGAAGCTCAGGACCGACAATGGCGGTGAATATGAAGACACCGGATTCAAGAAGTTCTGCTATGAGCACGGAATCAGAATGGAGAGAACCGTGCCCGGTACGCCTCAGCAAAATGGTGTAGCTGAGCGGATGAACCGAACATTGACAGAGAGAGCCAGAAGCATTCGGGTACAGTCAGGCCTACCGAAGCAGTTCTGGGCAGAAGCGGTCAACACAGCAGCTTATTTGATCAACCGAGGTCCATCGGTTCCATTGGAGCACAGAATACCAGAGGAGGTATGGTGCGGAAAGGAGGTAAAACTCTCACATCTTAAAGTTTTCGGTTGTGTAGCTTACGTGCATATTAGTGATCAAGGCAGGAATAAGCTTGATCCCAAGTCAAAGAAATGCACTTTCATCGGCTATGGTGAAGATGAGTTCGGCTACCGCATTTGGGACAACGAAAACAAGAAAGTGATCCGCAGCAGAGATGTGATATTCAACGAGAAGGTGATGTACAGGGACATGCACAAGACAGATGACTCAGAGATCGAGTCAATATTTGTGGATGCAGATAATGTCCCGAGTAACCTATCGGAAGAACCCAATGCAGAAGATCCTCAGCCAGAAGAGCCTGTTGGACAAGATGATGCGCAGGAGCCCGACGCACCAGCTCTGATATTAAGAAGATCTTCTCGTCCTCCTGTACCCAACAGGAGATAAATGAACTATCTGTTGCTGACAGATGATGGGGAGCCTGAAATCTTTGATGAAGCTTGCCAGTGTGGAGATGCGAGCAAGTGGGAGCTTGCAATGAAAGATGAGATGAAGTCTCTCATATCAAACCAGACGTGAAAACTAGCTGAGTTGCCCACGGGTAAGAAGGCACTCCACAACAAATGGGTGTACCGGGTTAAAGCCCGACTATTTGTCAAATGTTTCCAGCAGAAGGAAGGAATTGACTACACCGATATTTTTGCTCCCGTGGTGAAGCTAAATACTATCAGGACCGTGATGAGTATTGTAGCAATTGAAGATCTTCATCTCGAGCAGTTAGACGTAAAGACGGCTTTTCTTCACGGAGATCTAGAAGAGGAGATATACATGCACCAGCCAGAAGGTTTCTCATAAGAAAAGAAGAATGACCTGGTGTGCAGACTCAAGAAGAGCTTGTATGGCCTGAAACAAGCCCCAAGGCAGTGATACAAGAAGTTTGACGGCTTCATGCACAAGGAAGGTTTTCAGAAGTGCAACGCCGACCACTGTTGCTACTTCAAAAGATATCAGTCCAGCTATATCATCCTACTGCTGTATGTTGATGATATGTTGGTTGCAGGAGCAGATATGGAGGATATCAAGAGTTTGAAGCAGCAGCTGTCAAAGGAGTTTGACATGAAGGACTTGGGTCCAGCGAAGAAGATCCTTGGAATGCAAATCACGAGAGACAAGAAGAAAGAGTTCTTGCGGTTATCTCAGACGGAGTACATCAACCGTGTTTTGCAGAGATTCAACATGGGCGATGCCAAGCCTGTGAGCACACCCTTGGCCAGCCACTTTCGTTTATCGAAGGATCAGTCTCCTCAGTCAGAAGAAGAGAAAGAGAGTATGGCTCAGGTACCTTACGCCTCAGCTATCGGAAGCTTGATGTACGCTATGGTCTGTACGAGACCAGACATTGGCCATGCAGTGGGAGTGGTCAGCCGGTTTATGTCGAATCCAGGAAAAGCTCATTGGGAAGCGGTCAAGTGGATTCTGAGATATCTACGAGGCACCACACAGAAGTGTTTGCACTTTGGTAAGGGAGAGGTAGAAGTGCAAGGGTACGTAGATGCAGACTTCGGCGGCGAAGTTGATCACCGAAGAAGCACCACCGGCTATGTATTCACCGTTGGAACTACAGCTGTTAGTTGGATGTCACAGGTACAGAAGATCGTTACCCTATCCACTACAGAAGCTGAGTATGTTGCAGTGACTGAAGCCAGTAAAGAGATGATATGGCTTCAAGGTTTGTTGACAGAGCTGGGATTCAAACAGGAGAAGAATGTTTTGCACAGTGATAGCCAGAGTGCGATACACTTGGCGAAGAATTCAGCATTTCATTCTAGAACGAAGCATATTGCGCTTCGGTACCACTTCATCAGATCCCTGTTGGAAGATGACGTGTTAAAACTGGAAAAGATTCCAGGAAGTAAGAATCCAGCAGACATGTTAACAAAGACGGTGACCGTTCAGAAACTGGAGTTGTGCGCAATTTCAGTCTGCCTTCATGCATAGATGATGAGGGCGGAGCCACACAGGAGAGGAACTTGATGAGATAGCCCGTCGGCGTCGGTTTGGTCTCCAAGTGGGAGATTGTTAGTTTTGGGGTTGGATACCAACCTCCGACGGCGGAGGAGCTCCGACGAGCTCGAGGATGACGCAGGCGAGCGTGGTGAAGTCGACGACGAACGCGACCCTCGGCTTTGGCGAACGCGACCCTCGACGTTTTGGCAGCTCGACCCCTGCGTTCAGGACTCCGACGTCCGCGTTCTGGCTCTCCCACCCTCGCGTCCGAGCAGACCGCTGGCGACAGGCTGTCGCCAGCCTGTCAACGATTCGCCTATAAAAGCAAACCCCAATGCCTAGGGTTTAGTTGCTTTTTCCTTTCGTTTTTTCTCTGGCGGCGGATCCTCCTAACGCAGCAGCGTTCCCCTAAAATCGCAGCAGCGATTTCTTGTTTAATCTCCAGCTTTCAACAGTGGTTGAGGGAGATTTAAGAAGAGAGAGAGAGGGGAATTAAAGAGGGGGTTTATATTGTGGGTTACTTCATTTATTCTCAAGTGAGATTTGAAAGGGATTATTCCCTTTAATTATTAACACTGTAGCTACAGTGTTCATTTGAGAGATCTCATTTTTGATCTGCTCTTAAATTGTAATTTCTTATTTGATTAATAAGAAATTAACTGTGTGGCTCCCGAGGACGTAGGCAGTTGCCGAACCTCATAAATCTTGGTGTACTTTTTTTCCCCCTTCTTCACCCTTTTACTACAATATCAAATTAAATAAGTTTTTTACAGTTGTACGTAACCAACAATACCCCTTCTTCACCCTTTTACTACAATATCAAATTAAATAAGTTTTTTACAGTTGTACGTAACCAACAATATTTCCATTCCAATAACTGAGCTATAATACAAATTAAATAAGTTTTTTACAGTTGTACGTAACCAACAATATTTCCATTCCAATAACTGAGCTATAATCAATACGAACCTTCACTGTGATCTTGCTTTTGCCTGGAAGCAACCAAAAAGACTACGTACACAGGCTCAGGATGAGAAAATGTAGAGATGCAGGTGACGTGACTTGCGGATTACACCTAGCCCTTAACAAATATATGGGGGAGGTTACCAAAGATGCTTAAATGATGTGATGGGGGCATATATAGAGAACAAGTACTTTGGGTAAAATAAAAATTTCACAATCAAAGAGCCTTTCTTCTTTGAAACAAGGAAAAAATTTATTATGATCCCCTTCTTTGACTTACACTTGAAGAAATGTTATTATGTTATAAAAAGCAGCGTGCATGTTGCAGGAAAGAGATAATTTTGATTCTAATAGCTAAACGTGATGTAATATGATATTTTCTCAAAAGTCTTTTGTCTTTTATATTTTGCTCAAAACAAACAAAGCAACCGTGCTTCAAAGACAATCTCATGTGGCGCGCAGCGTTAAAATCTTTCTTCCTCTTCAAAAATAATTAAAGCCCACAATTGAAAATGACTATTTCAATATTGTATCAGTAATAAGTAGTCAAAAGATGAATATTTTGCTATTTCATTGCATCACATCATTGTGTTTTATGTTTTCACTTAACAAGCTTTATCCACCTCCAAGCTCCTATAAATATCACCTCCCTTGCTCCCCTTTCACTCACACTCATTCTCCTCCCTTCAGAGCACTACATAAAAAATGGCTCTCTCAACTCGGTTTCTTTTGGCATTCATAGTTTCATTGAGCACCATGAAGGGCTTGTGCTCAGGCGATCCAACCGATGGATTCACAGCCGTGCCCTTAACGGAGAAGAACTTCAAGGAGCAGTGGCCGTACAATCTTCCTCTTGACGATCGTTATAGCTTCGTTGACGGAGTTCGCAAGCTCTGGGTTTATTCTACAGACAAGCCTCATTTTCCTGGCAGTGGAACGAAGCCCCGGACTGAGATTCATATTGAAGTAATGGCTTGCTACTTACTCTCGTTAACGAGCTATTAACTGCACATATAGACCCCTTATTATCTCGCCCTGAGATTTATTATCCTCGTAGCTTGATTTTGGCAAATAGATATTCCTAGAATGAAATTTTGAATAGGGCTCCTTGCCCTATTTTTACTGCAAAAATGTCGTGAATAATTGTTCACGTTTGATTATTTTTAAGGAAATAAAGACTTTTAGTTAGATTTCTTGATGGAGAATAATAGAAAGAGATGAAAGTAAAGAAAATAAGAAATACTTTATGAGTCGAGTAATGATAATATTTTAAGAGACTACTAGAAATCAGTAAATTGTGGTAGTTTTGTTTTTACTCTTGTTAAAATCATGTCTTTGGAGTTTTTGGGGGGTTAGGGGGCATGATTTTACTTTGTACAACGCCATCTGACTAAATAAATAGCAGGATGCTGGTGTTGGTTTTTATATGATTTATATGATTTCAACCATTGACTAACAAGATTCATCAAAATTTCTTTTGGTTTCTGTCCTAGCAAATCAACTATATATAAGACCGTCAATTGAGTTAGTTCATTGTATAATATCTCTATTTCCAAACTAATTAAAAACACCCAAAGCTTAGTTTCAAGATCAATTTAGTAATTTCATCAAAATATGTCGATATTCTTAAACATAGTGAACCTTGTTTTGCACTGGTCTTTTACTGCAGAAACAAACCCGCGTAACTATTTACCTGAATGTTTTACATTTTCCTTTTTGACAGTATTTTGTTGCTATTCATGCCTCATCTAAACATATTTTGGTGCCCCCACTCGTAGCTGGGTTGTAATTTTGTAAGGGTTCAATTCTGAAATAGGGTCTTATATGCTTCCCATGTAAATCAGGCTCCACAAACAACAATAGTCATTTTGTGACGTATATTTTTTCTTCAGGGATACGATTACTCTTCGGGCGTATGGCAATTCGAAGGCAACGCCTATGTACCAAGCGGAACAACGGGTGTATCCATCATGCAAATCTTCGGAGCCAGCGGCAGAGCAACAACCTTCATGATGTGGGTTCACAATGGCTCAATCAATTACTACTCCCATCAAATGATCCAAGACAATATCTACGATCGGTGGTTCAAAGTGAATGTGATTCATGACACCGGTGCTAAAAAAGTCCATGTTTACATCGACAATGTTTTGAAACTGAGTGTGGATGATGCCGGAGGAGACTCTCATTACTTCAAGTTTGGTGTTTATGAACAGAATGGTAATTCGAACTGCATGGAGTCGAGGTGGAAGGGTATTAGGGTTTTGAAGAAATAAGATTGAGATGAATGTGCGATTTAGTTATGTATTTGGCGGGTGCCTGTATATGTTGTATGCCATGTATAAGATAAGGTCTGGACGTTGTGCGCAAGTCCATGTATGAGTCATGTATACTATGTACCTACTATATTTAGTAATGCAAATCCCTATTTATGTTTGCAATATTTATATGAGTTTTGTTCCTTTTTTTTTGGTTGATTGGAAAGTCTAATTTACATAGAGAATACATAACACCAAAACCCAATGTGTTCATGAACTGTTAGAAAATAGGTGTAGACCCAAACCTCGTCGGCGGCGAGGTCAAGCGGCGGAGGCGAGCTCAGACGAGCTCGAGATCAGAGCTTGGAGTCGGGCGAAGGCGACTTGGTTGCAGGCGATGCTCTCCTGGCGAACTCGAGGTCGGCAGCCTCGTGCGGGCGAAGTCCAGAGCTGGCGAGGGCGAGACCTTCTATTGGCGAGTTTTAGGGCTTCAGGCGAGGCCCTTTATGCTGGCGAGATCAAAGTTGTTTTGAGTGCAGGCGGATTTGATAGAGGACAGGCGAGCTCGGGTTTGAGCAACGTCAGGCGAGCTCAAATAGGTGTGAAGATCGCCTGCGTGTGGAGAGAGGGTTTTGCCTGTTGCGGACGTGGAGGCGAAGGCGGACTCGCCTGCGCGTTGTGTTCACTCAAATCCGCAAGTGCACGGATATCGTTGTAGCGATGCAAGGTCGTATCCTCAGGGACTTCGTTGTTGAATTACTGATATTTCACTGTTTTGTAACTATCTAAACAATTGTGTTAAAAAGTATGATTTTTTGATTATCAATAACGAACACGCTAGCTAGTATAACGAGAATTCACTCAATTAAAAGGATCTAGGATTGAACTTCGGTTTCAACTCTGGTTCGAATCAATAAATTAATCAATTGTTATCGAATCTCTCAATGCATTAAGAACCACTAACCTATGATAACTATTAGTCTCTTTCGGACGACTAAATTCGTGCCTAATTCAGGCCTAACAACCTATTTTCATGGTGTTAAACCAAATTAAACCCATTAAGTTCTTGTTAATCCCTTGTTCTCAAGGAATAATCAACGCTACTTCGTGATCAAATTAATTCTTGTTCAATTATCACTATTTGTCCGGCGTAAATCTAACTTTCAGTTCAAAATCAACATCCTAGAGAATTAAATGCAGTGGCGCAATTAGAATTAACGCCTAGCCAATTGGTAGGGTGAAAATTTGATTCTCCGAAGAAAGGAGTTTCGTTTGTATTTATAAGAAAGCCTTATTACAAACTAACAGATCAATGTTTACAAAAACAGAGCAGAGGGAAGGCCCTCTTTGTTTTGTGTGGGGACTTTAGGTGGCGATAGGATGGCCTCGCTCGGTGCTCGTGGCCGAGTCTGCTTCCCTTGGACGATCCGATCGAAGTTGATGCCGGAGCCGGAGCTTCGGTTCTCAAATGAGGGAGCCTTTGGCAAAGGTCCAGGTTCAACCTTTGGGAGATTAGCCAGCAGAATAATGCAACGGCCAATCCCCCTTTTCTTCATGTTGCTGAAGATGGGTTTTAACGAGCAAGGGATGAATCATGGGCCATCCCTTGATTCATGGGATTTGACTATGTGAGGGAGACAGCTTGCACTACTCCTTGAATTATGGGATGTGACCACACGTTGTTCGGAGACGTCTGCTGCTGTTCATATCGTACCATCAATGGTCATTCGAAGAGCTATGCTCTGCATCACGCTACATAGGAGTGGGAAAGCCCCTCCTCGTATGCGTGACAACGGCTGTCAGATGCTTGCGTAGATCTGACCAGCCACCCGAGCGTTGGCAGGCTCTCGTCCCTTCGGCTGGACAACTGAGGTGAGCCGCAATTTATGAGGGTGCAGGCTGTTTCGGCGCCTGTCCGCTCATTCGTACTGTGGACGGCCATCTGACGGGCCTGGAGTATTGTGCCCTCTCCCTTGATTTGTGGGATTTGACCACTGATGTAACTGTTCCCATACTCCAAGTGGGCAGTTGACAGTGAGCTGGCGAGTCTGGCAGCTTGGGTCTGCAGGCGAGCTTTAGGACTGCAGGCAGACTTGGGTCTGGCAGGCGAGCTTGCAGTCGAACTGGGTCTGCAGGCGAGTTGCAGTCGAACTGGGTCTGGCAGGCGAGCTTAGGATGCAGGCAGATTTCGAGCTGCAGGCGAGCAGGCAGACTTGGTCTGCAGGCGGATTTGGGACTGCAGGCAAGATTCGAGCTGCAGGCGAGCAGGCAGACCTTGGGTCTGCAGGCGGATTTGGGACTGCAGGCGAATTTGAGCTGCAGGCGAGCTCCTGAGCATGGATTGAAGAATAGGCCGTAACTTTCAAACCGTAAGTCGGAATTGACGAATTACATATGAAAATCGCTATCTCGACGAGATGGAGCCATCCGAACCGAAGCCGAAGGCTTCGGTTCGCTTCCTCCGTTTTGCCAATTCCTTACGGTTTGGGAGATATCTGCGTTTTCCCCTTTCTGCCTATTGTCGGCGCGAGGTTTTAGCAGTTTTGTTCTGAACTTCTCTGATAAGGATTAAAGGCAATTTTTATTGCCTACAGCAATTTCTACTAGTAACTGAATAATGCAAGTCGAACAATCAATAACAACAACAATCAGTTCATTAATTCATAACCATGGCCGAACCTAGTTCAATCCCAGATAAGACAATTACTCACACATAATTGAAATAGAAAACATAATAACAATATATAAGATCATAATCATAAACTGGAAATTGAGATAGATCAGAAAGATAAACCGTAGTGTTGAAGTTGCACACAATTCTCCACAAACAGCAGGTTCCAAATCAAAAGAAACCTAATCTAAGAGTTTTTAGAGAGAAGAAGAGAAGAAGAAGAAAGAAAAAATCAAGATCTCCAGCCTCCAGTCTCTCCTCAGGTGCTTCAGGGCGTCTCCCTTTTAATTCTGGGAAAAACGTGTTGAAAGATAACTTTAAATATTGCTTCAGATCGCATGATAACTGACTGCTGTCATCCAACACGGCTGTGCAGATCGACACGACCAGGCCGTGTATAATTCTGTTTCGCTCTGTTTTCTGGGCTTTTCTTCTGTAATCAACACGCCTGTGTTGTTGAACACTGGGTGACCGTGTAGCCACTTTCCTTGCATTCTTTGACTCCTTCTTGACTCCGAATCCGCGCTAAGCTCCAGTAAGTCCTACATAATATATAAATAGAGCAGTAAACAAGAACTAGGGAGCTTAACATGGCCAAAATGCAAGGAAATACATCAAATAACAATGAATCCGTAGGTGAAACATAGTCAAAATATAGATAATATTCATGTTTATCAACTCCCCCATGCTTGAACTATTGCTTGTCCTCAAGCAAAACAGATGGAAACACACACATGAGTGGGTACAGATTCAAAGAAAATAGAAATTAAGCACAAAGGTATCCACTATTCTCAAGTTCACATGCAACATTATTCCACTCAACCCAATGTCAAAACAGAAATCTTGTCTCAAGTTCAAAGTTGAAGAAAATGTATCTGTAGGCGTTCACGTATGTTAGTGCAAGTGACTCAACTCATAAACGTTGGAGAGAGAAATGGCATGACAAAGTTAAAATTTTTTTTAGTTGATTGCCCAAAACTCCTTGTGACAGACACATATCTCATCACAATGGGTCATACTATTCCTACTTAAGGTCTCAAAGGAGCACTCGGTTTCCTTGCATTTTATTCAAAAAAATTTCAAATTTTTTTTTGAAAATCCCGTCATAATTAACACCTACTGACGTGACAACCATACTTCTGAGGGTGAGGTGCCAGGTACTCGGTGCAACAGACTTTAGGACTCTTTTTTTTTATACAAGGCCGAGTGTTTCTCCAGTAACCAAAAAGTATTCCAAGTCACCAAAGAAGCTTAGGTTTTAATTAGATGGGTTGAGCCAAAATCCATTCCTATCTCTCCAATGTTTAGAGTTAAGTATCGACAAAGTGGAACTCGAACAGATAACGTCCTAACCAACTGAAGATGAAACAAAAGATTTTTTTTTTACAATGGGGCATGTGAAATAAATGATGCATGTGTTAGTAGAGTTTTCAAACAGTGGTACTCTTTTTCTTTTCTTATCTTTTTTTTAAAGCTAAATGAAAAATCCCAACACAGAAAACAAGCACTCAAAAACACCAAAGCATACATGAAACATCATCCCAACAAACCAACTCACTCCCACATGCTTGAATTGCACATTGTCCCTAATGTGCTTGAGTAATTGAAAGGAGGATAGGAGGGACTCACCGCTCATTGAGGTGGCGGTGGAGGTGCATAATCATGAGGTAGAGAAAAGTGGTGCAAATTTTGTATCAATTGGTTCATCGTCCCTAGTGTAGTATCAAAACCATCCAGACGCATGTTAATGGCATGGAATTGTGTGTCCATATCTTGTCGTAATGAGTGGACGGACTCTTTCAAGTGTTGCTGCCCCCGCTCTAACATGTTGAACCTGTTGATCCAATTGGGGGACACACTAGATGTGGATGCACCGTGGGGCGAAGTGTGTGGAGCCGGTTGTTATAGGGGTACCTCTTGATTAAGATCAGGGTCAAAGATAATACCATCAGGGTTATTGGAAGGAGGCAAAGGGTTACCCCTTGTAGACCGGTGTTGCAATGCTGTCGGTGAGTTGGAGGTTGTTGCATCGTTGTTTTTTCTGCGTTTTGGATCCATGGGGCTGAATGAGAGATCGTTGGAGTTGCGGGACAGCGCTTCTCTCGTCGGAACTTCAGACGTGTTGTCTTTGTGTTGGAAACATTCCTGGCTTTGGGTTAGAGAGGAGGTGGAAAGGATGACTATAATGGGAAAAGTCAGTGGGATGATGAGTGGGGGAAGTATGGGAAGTCAATGGGGAAGTCTGTGAACTTGGTTTTGGGAAAGTTAAATGGCTTTTGGGGAGATGGGGAATGTAAATGGGATTGATAGGCTGTTTGGGAGGTGGGGAATTTAATTGGGATTGATAGGCTGTTTGGGAGGTGGGGAATTTAATTGGGATGTCAGTTTTTTTTTGGCCACGGGTGTGGTGGACGCCTTCCCAGGGTGTGGTAGACTCTGGAGATGAGATGAAGACTGTCCCGACTGCTACACGGGTGTGTTGGTGGACACGGCCTAGCCGTGTCA